TTTTTATAAACATTGTTTAATTATGATGGTTAGGAGTAACTTTATTTAAAACAATTAAGTTTAACAAACAATTTATTAGATGGTTGTGCTCATAAAATTTAACTAACAATTTATTACAAGGTTTTGCTCAATATAGTGCATTAAGAACAAAAGATGTGTTCCGATTGTAATAGTGATTATTGTGATAAACGCTGTGGACTGTACGCGACGTGTGCTTGCGTCGGATAGATGTGCACACCCCACAAAAACGTGGCAAGGCGTCGGGTAGCATCGGGTAGCGTCGTATGGCGTAGCATCGGGTAAGTGTGTTCCTGGCTATAGCGTTGCATCGAGTAAGTGATTTCCGCGCTTACTCATTTCGGGATGAAACATGGTTTTCTTTGTTGTATATAATATCTATAGATATCTCATTTTCTTTCGTATTTAATGAGATTCATTAATATTATGAGCCGATGAGTCAAAAGTATGAAAAAAGAAAGAGTGTGGATATATCTTGCTGTAAAACTGCATGCATTGAGGGCTGAAGAAATAGCTGGTAATAGCCCCACGAGCCTAACTTCGCTGGCCGAGTGGAGGTCTGATCCTGAACTGTCAAAACTCGAAGTAGGTGATTGATGTCAAAAGCTCGAACCTACCCCCTAACAACCTATTCGTTACCCTTCCCAAATGTCCCGCGACCGAGACAGCCAACACCTGGTTTTGCGAAACGCTGCAGTTTAAAGCTCTCTCCAACAAGAGCACAGACTCCAATTGCTATTTTATTATTCATAAATATTATTCCTGGCATTATCATAGTAAGGCGTATTTGCTGCAGTGTATAGGCTAACCGCATGGCGATTGTATTTCCGCTCTAGGGTGGCTGGCTGAAACAATTCAATATTTCTTTGCCCGAATCAATCAATTGAAAGAAAAACCAGTCAACAACAAAAAAAGGAAATAGCAGAATTGATAAAGTATGGCTGGCTGTACATTAATTTGGTAGGGCCGTTTTGCTTGAAACTATAAGTCTCAATGATGTAATTATTTGTTCATACTCGTTAACCATGAACCTCCATTATCCGGGAATCCAATTAACCAGGGCCGGGTCTCCGTATACGTACACTACGCATACAGGTGTTTATTTCGCCTAGCAAAAAATTACTTGTGATTCTAAGAATATTTTATCTTGTTCTTATGAAACTCCCACCTTTCTGTTTTCATTGAGCACATTCGTTTCGAAGTTCTGGAACGCCGCGTGTACCCCTTTCCCCTTTAAGGTGGCCATTCACTATCACTCCAAATGGAACCGCGCCAAATCGCGTGGATCTCTTGCGCTACTTTTCTGTTTATTTACATATTAAAAGCAAAAAGTTTAAGAGGAAATAGTAGAAGAAGTGGCTCCTGAACAGAAGCCGTAATACCCACATCAATTTGATGAAAGATCTTTTCCTTGAACCCGCTGATTGGAGGAACTATTTAAGGATGGATGAAACGTCTTATTTATTCATTATATTTAGTGTTCTATTGACCAAACTACTTATTTCAATTATTTAATCTTTTTTGTAAGGTTTTCTTTGAAATGAAAAAGCTAGTGCCACGAGCGGGATCTGAATCCATGGCCTTCGGCTAAATACGCCGCTGCTCTACCACGTGAACTATCATGACTTCGATCCTCTCCGACACCAAAAATGGTAAAAAGAGAGAAAATTCGAAAGGTTGTAGGTTGAGATGAGGAGTTGGTGCCCGAGTGGAACGAAGTCAGGATAGATCAAGTGGTTAGCGCAGCGGCGTATTTAGCCGAATGTCGTGGATTCAAATCATCCCCTCGTGACACTATTTTTTCATTTCAAAACCTTACAAAAAAAAGATTAACGTCTTATTTATATTTACTACTTGTTATCCCCCTTGATTAGAAAACAAAAGACAGTCATGAGAGAAATCATCACTACATGAAAGGTTAGCAACCACATTACGAATTCTCGCTACAGGGATGAACTACACTTTCATTTTATTATAATTAATTAAGGTTTTTAGTTGAGATAAAAAAGTCAATGGCACGAGCGGGATTCGAACCCACGATCTTCGGCTTGATACGCCGCTGCTCTACCACTTAATTAATTATAATATATTAATTGGTCAAGCGGACCACGAAATTAGTGAATTTAATTTCATTTTATTGCATTACAACTATAATTTTTGATCATTGTATTATTATCAATACCGCATCTCTCATCGCATTTGTATCCTTTGATTGGAAAACGTCGACCAACTGGTTAAGGATCGAATTCCTTTTATTTCTATCGTGGTAATATAATCATTGTTCACCACTTTCATAAACATGGTAAACGTAAATAAAGAATAAACGTTTTTGACTTTTTGAGAATGTACGACGGAGATGTTTGCTCA